GATACGATACGTTCGTGTAGTTCGCGCTGCGAATGTAAGGCCGCATGTATATTTCCACCCAAATGTATGAGTTCCTGGACCGCTTTACATGGGATGCGTCGCTCAGCTTCCCTAGTGGCTGCTCGGCTGGCTAGGCTGACGAGGGTGTCCTGCTTGCTAATGTATTGTGCGCCCCCCCCCCCCCCTGGCGTAGAGCTCGAGGCAGGCTAGCGTTGTCGATCTTATCTAACAGCATGGCCTGGTAAGTGGTCCCGTCGGGGACCAGGGGGATCTCAAAACGGCCGTCGATAAAGGCGCTGAAGTGCCCAGGGAAAACCTGGTCGGCGAATGGGCGTCGCACACGAAATGGCGGCCCTTGCACCTCGGCCATCTCCTGCTCCCACTCCTCTGCTAATGGGTAGAATGATCACATGGAAAGCTCTGTTTCGTTTGAATCCCCCACCCCCCCTCCTGCGCCTGGCCGAAGTGCGAGGGTAGCATCGGAGGCCTGGATGTAAACAACTGCGCGTGCACGGTGCTGCTCGAGGAGAAGATGAACATGTTCGTCGTGACAGCGCACCGCGCGTGCAACGCAGATAGTCCGATGATCGCCCGTGGCGAAGTCATTGCGCATATCATAGCTCTTGGCCGCAAAAGAAATGTTGGCTGCCCTCAACTTCCAGATCAGCAGCTTCGCGAGCAACATCGCATATTCTAGCCGCCCGGCAAACGTGCCTCCGCGGGCCCAGGATGGTGCATCAAACAAGGGTCCGTACTTCATCAATCCGATTCGAAGGTGGAGGCGCCAGAAATGATCAGAACAATGACGGGGCCGGACGCGCTGATGGATGTCTTATACATGGCGTCCTGTGGGGGCCTTGCCTTTCTTGCCGATCGCGATGACGTGGCCTGTGTAGGCTTGGGTGGGCAACTCCGCCGTGTGCCGCGCGTGCCCCGGGGGCGCCGCGCATGCCATTGCCACCGTGTAGCACTAATGCGCGTCCAACTGGGGCTGCCGCCGATCGGGTCGAGGAAGCTTTTTGTCTGAGGGCTGAATGTGAAACCGTCGATTTTCTCCTGCTCCGATGCCCGCGCGCCCTGGCCCAGGTCGAGTGAGAAACGTCGGCGTCAGCGTCGTGGCCGTCAGCTTAATGGGCCAGGCCCAGGGCGGGTGGTGCCTGCGTCTCTTCTCGCGCCAGATGCGCTTCTGCATCATCTGTAATTCAGTGCTCGCCTCCTCGAGATCCTCGATGGTCGGGGCGCCGATGCGGTCGCCAACAAGTTGCATTGTGTCCATCGGTGCCAACATCCGCGGGACTGCTGTTGCGTCTTCAATGTAAAAACTTGCGTGTGTCTTGGTAACAGTCATTCTACCGTCGGTTGCATGATCCGGCAATGCCTGCTCGTACTCGCTCGCTGACGGTCGCGTGGGGTGAAGGGATAGATATGGACGTCGGCGAGGTCCCGC